AGAACGATGTGACTCAAAATCTGTAACAAAACATGATGTTATTTCTTCTTAAAAACAGCATTAATTATTTGAAAAATTTAAAATAATAAAAAACTGTTAAACATGAAATTTCAATGATGATATTCAATTCAAGAAAAAAATGAAACGAAAAATTGATACTTGTTAAATTTTTAATTAGATTTTATTCTTAATAAGAATAATAATTAGCATAAGATAAAGCAATAATGTAAGAAACTTGTTAAATTTTTAATTAGATTTTATTCTTAATAAGAATAATAATTAGCATAAGATAAAGCAAAAATGTAAGAAACAAAATAAAATGAAGTACAAAATATAATTATACTAGTATTATTACAAAGTATAATATAAAATATAAGTACAAAGTATAATTATACTCACATACCTAGTTTTTGAAGTATTAGTAACTCTTTTGCACGGCACAGGAAACGAAAAAGAAATTTGGGAAAATTTTACTTTGAATAATCATTATTAAAGAATTAAACTAACGTATTTTGTACAGATCAAATATGGCTTCTTTCTTTGTTGAAAAAAGGTGCGCGGCACCCAAAGGACGCGATGCGCAGAACATGTTCAAACCTGTCAGTCATAACATTTCTTCTCGAACGAAAAATTTGTCATTATAGAATAGAACAGAATATATCAAATATTTTCATGTTTCTATAAAAATCTATTAGATTTATTGTAACTTACTTTCCGACGTTGATGGCGTCTGTTTCAATTTCGTAGCGTCTCTCTAATACTTCGAAACTTTCCTCACTGTCAACTAATAATCTGTACAAAATAAAACCAAAACTTTCAAATAAACGTACGAAAAATACGAATTATTCGAAATGAAACAATGTTAAAGGTTAAATTTTATGAAAGCTCATAATATGAGCTACCGGTAAATGTTACAATTAAGAACGCAATCAAAGAAAATAAGATAAATTATTGATAAATTATAATAATATTCAATAAATTATTGCATAAAGACTTACGTTAATAGGCAAAATTGACGTGTGGCTATAAACGATGAAAGAATAACGATGAAAATACTTTAAGAACACAATTAATTATCACGCAAAGAGATACAGCGTAACGACACAATTTTAGACAAAGGACTAATCCTCTGCGCAACAAGTTCGCGTCGCAAATTAATTTGATGGGGTGGGGGGCATACGAATGCACGAATAGGATTAGAATAATTTGTTGGAAAAGTGAATTGTCCTATCAGAAGATTTCTACTAATGAGCCAATCACATAAATTTATACATAATTATTTTTGTATACTTTTTGGGCGCCAATTCAATTAATCGTTTAAACAACTAAAGAAAATAATTTTCTAATACGAAATAAGGTTACATTTTTCACTAGAATATTTTTATATATCTTATGTATTAGATGTATGTAATATCGAGTTTACAAAAATTTTTGTTCATACTATTTAAAATATATTTTTTGTACTCATAAATATTATGAAGTTTCGCTAATACTATATATTGTATATGTATATTTAAGCAATATGATCACGATAGTCATGTCTCTAATGTAAAATATTTTATATTGCATAAAAGTATTTTATATTAAGTATTTTCAATTATTTTCATGAAACTACTACTATATATATATATATATATATGTATGTATGTATTTATGTCTAATCAAAAAATAATGGGATTGAATACATGACGAATTCTATTAATGGTGTTCATTTCTAAATAGTAGGCCTATTTGACAATGAAAAAACGAAACTAAAAGCTATTAATTGTAATCTTTACCTAAGAACTTCTCTTCTTTTTACTGTTCTTCCTGCTTAAGGCTGACATTTTTAGGTTATATCACAATATTATAGATCATATCAATTATAAAACATCGAATATAGCGATATAATATATGTAATTGTGTATATTACCGTTTCATATAATCGTTACCTAAGTTAAGACAATTGTTCACAAGTTGCGTACAAAAATACATTGTTTACAACAATTAATTAAACAATGTAATTTCATTTTTACAATTATTATGTAAGTAAAATAAGAGTGTTTTAATTTTACGTCTTAATTTTAAGTAATATTTAATGAAATAATACTTTTGAGTGATTTCTGTCTCCAAAAATGATTTCCATTATATTCAATAAAATTCTTCTGTTATAGATGCTGCTTGAAATCACTATTCCAAGTAATTGCTTAGTAATAGAAATTAATAATTTGTAATTTCACCTGTTCTAAATTAATATTATTAACCCTCGGAAGCCTGAAGCTCGAAATCCTGTGCCGGGATCATTTCTGAGTCACGGATATTCCACTAACAGCTACTTTTTTATTATTACAGATCGCCCGAGCGGCTTACCGATACTGTACTAACACAGAGTGACGGTCCTCACCAATACAGTGACAGACACACGACTCATATAGGAACATGTAGGAGCATATAGGAACAAATAATAATCACATTAATAATAAAGTTATATTTATTTATATTTATACATTTATGAGAAACAATCGCTGTATCCTTGCTAGGACCAATACGTTTACAATTACGTCCAAATTCCTAGTTTTCTGGGACTACATTACCCACAGTTTCTGATATATTGTCTTCTTGTATTTCGAATTCGAGATCTTGCATTTCCGGTTCAGTGTCACTATTTGATACACTTCAGTTGACTGATCATGCACTATATAGATCACCCCTAGGATAGGTGCCAGAAATAATTTATATTGTTGTCCTTATCGCAAGCTGTTGCTCTTTTGTCTACCGCGCGAATATATCTGTCCTTGTCACACGCTATCGCTCTCCTTGTCTACCGCGTCTATATCTCTGTCCTTGTCGCACGCTAGTACCCTTCTTAATGACAAAGAAAGTAACAGTGTGCGACAAGGACATCCTTCGCTCTATTGAAAAAAAGATTCAACATTTTACACGTTTACGATAATACAATCACCAAAGTTCACAATTCATTTCGCCAAATTAGGTTTTTTCGCAAATGAAAATTTCCCTGTTTTACAGGGTAAGAAATACTAGCGCCGCGTTGTGGCAGATCTGTAACGAGCTCTACTTCGAAGAATTTAGATCAACGACATCTATGTTCATTAAATCATTTCGTCGAGATGCGTATTTCCAATAAACAATAGAATATTTAAAAATTGTTAGTAATTTTATTATCACCATGGAAATGTTTACAGAAACTTATATATATTGTAGCCATAGTAGAAATTTTTCATTCGTTATTTTGTTATTTAACTTCCATCATGTAATCTTCATTAAATTATTAGTAATTGTATATTTTGTTATATTTTTATATAAACAACTAAAATTAATTACTAAAATTAATTATTTATTTGTAATATTGTGATATAAATTTAAATTATCATTGTAGCGATCTATAATTCCTCGAGGTACGAGTTTCAAACACCAACTTGTACAAGCCGCAAGTGGCTGTGCGCCTAGCGTCGAAGTCAATCGATATTCGATGTTAAAAGTAGAGTGCGGAACACCGCTAAGATGGGTGAGAGACCGGTCCAGCCTTAGCGAGTAGAGTAGTTAGAACAACCAAGCGTCTGGGGTAAGAAGTCGCTGCCATCAACCCCACTGATGAGTCTTAGGTAGCGACTGTGAGACGAAGCGCCACAACCTTTCCTCACCTTACCCACATCATCACTTCCTACATTATCCTCGTATCGTCATAAACACTTTCAATCCCTTCATAATGGTGGAACTAAACGCCATCTATTGACAAGTCTCTGGTACTAAAAACAGAATTCTCTACTTTTAGTACCAGCGAGTTGTCAGTAGATGGCGTCACCGTTTCTTCTAAACATTGACAGGTGACAGTTTTTCCACAAATTACGCGAAGAAATTAATTAAAAGGAATCATTTGCGAACTGTTATGGTTGCGTCTTCTATTTTAGAGTCCCTAAGTTTGCGTTTTATGTTTTGTTTAAGTATAGTTTGCGTATATAAAGAATATTTCAATTTCATTTACGTTAGTAGTACTGCCAGTAGTGAGGGCATAATTTCGCGGAAACTACAGTGAATATTAAATTCAGATTTATTTGCGAACGTAACTGATAGCATTATCTTTGAAATATGTGCTCGTATAGTGCAAATTAGTAGCGTGAAAAGTTAAAATTAATTATTTTCCTTATATGGTTACAGAGCGTTTAGTTCCAACGGTCTGCCACAACGCGGCGCTAGTGTTTCTTGCCCTGTAAAACAGAGAAATTTTCATTTGCGAAAAAACCTAATTTAGCAAAATGAATTGTGAACTTTGGTGATTGTATTACCCTAATTAGACGCTTAGCTTTCTTTTCATACCCCATTTGACCCGTAAAATGCAGAAATAAGTATTTTTATAAATAATTAGTACCACTGAGTTACCGCTAGATGGCGCCACCATGTCCATTTTGTGACAGCTCGCACTAATTACGAAAAAAACCTAATTAAGAGGAATAATTTGGAAACTGTTTTATATGCGTCCTTAAAATTAGGTTCGTCGCTTTCTTTCTATGTGTGTTTTGTCCTAGAAAAACGTATATGTAAAAAGTTGAATTTTTTTTTCAACAGATCGAAGGATGTCCTTGTCGTACACTGTTGCTTTCCTTGTCTAGCGTCATTAGACAAGGAGGGCAATAACGTGGGACAAGGACAGACACATCTGTGCGGCAAACAAGGAGAGTGATAGCGTGGAACAAAGAGAACAATATAAATTAGTTACACCATTTCACCGCTACGCGACGTTAGTATTTTAATGTCTTTAACGGCTATATCAAATTATAGCGTTAACATTTATATATCAAATTATAATTATTATTATTAATTATATACCAAATTATAATTATTATTATTAATTATATATTAATTATAATTATTATTATAATATTTATTATTAATATTATTTTAGAAATCCTTATCTTTTTATAAAAGTTTGACCTTCCCTTTTTGTGTAAAAAAATAGATAAATGTAAACTGACGATAGGAAATAGATAATATTGTAGCTGTTAAAAATTGTTTTGATTTCTATATTTAATTACATGACATAAAACCGTTGTCGGTTATTATAAAAGTTACATCAATATACACAGAAGGAAAATCCTTTCTCTTTGCGTTCCCTTGACAACAGCAGTACACAAGTCAATCATCTTTGAAACCATCTTTGTGATCAACTTACAGTAAGCATTACTCTTGTGATCAACTTACAGTAAGCATTACTTTATTTCAGTGTAGAATTTTTTATTGAAAAAGAGCGATCATCATATAATAATCATACGTTGAATTAAAATTATCAACGAAGAGATGACTACCAGAGCGGATATGTGTCGAACGTGTAATCGTGGTCTTCATTCTTACAATATACCATCCAGAGATGCAGATAGAAAGGAAATGTACACCTTTGTCAAGAGTCCAAGAGCAATTTTGCATATTCAGAAGAAATATAGGAATCCGCCCATGTAAGTTTCCGTAATGTTTCAACAAATTCTGGAAAAAAACGAAACAATTTAGTTCCTTAAAAAAATCTTGGCCAGTTATCAAAGAAATAAATCATTTTTATCTTTTTTTTTTTTTTACTCATAAATATTCTTTCTCAGTTCGGAACTTCAATTTCCACTTTAAGTTCCCGTGGAACCTTTCTTTGCTTACCTGAAAACTTTATCCTATTCTATAATTATCAACTTACGAAATCTTTATACAATTCTCTGATACAGATCACTACGGCAATTGCTTATGTTCGTTAGTATAGTTCTTCTTACACTTTGCTAATCAATTTCAGACATCGCTGACACAGGGCTTTCAAAGAACGAGTACTTTATGGCAAGTGTACAGCTAAAGTATTTACCCACAATACAAAAGAACCGAAAGGATAGATAATTTGCAGGAAAGGTATGAATTTACAGTAAATTTTTACCAAGAAATACAAGGAGAAATACATAGTCATTAGAGAGAATGACTAGATTTTTCCATACCGTGATATGCAAACTCAAGATGTAAATGTCACAATCTTCGATTGATAAATGTTCATGCATGGTATATGTTCGAAAACTTTTGCAATATCATAACCAAAGATATCGCAATGATAACGTCGATGATCGATCGTACGAAACGGCATTATTGAAAGGACGGAGCTGTAGGCCAAGAGGTATATTAACGATCAAACGCAATCACGCGATTAAAACGAAAACTTTAATACTTGACTCATGTATGAATAGGGTGACAACGTAAGTTGGCACGAGAAACGGTCGGTGAAACGAAATGTAAGCAGACGTTTCACCTTGAAGAAGTTAACGGAGGGGGTTGCGAAGTTGAGGATAAATTCTGGTCGGTACTCTACGATACACCGTCGAACATATGTGGTCATAGTTACCACCGATTTCGAGCCCCTTTAGCATGACTTAGGCATGCGCAAAGTTCACGACGGTCAGCGTTATTGAGTGGCCGCTGCGTAAAAATATACGTGTAGCATGTCTGCGGTATATATCGGTCGATTCTAAGGACATTGTCCACTCTGTGAACTCGCTTGCATGATCGCGCGAGCCTGTTAGTAACATCGTGGCCACCGTGCCAGGCGCTCTTATCATCTCATCCTTCTCCTAAGCTCAGGTCACTGATTCATGATCTAGTTAGAAAAAGAGAAAAATATCAGATTAAAAGGTTTGAAAAATATCAGCTGTACTCTAGCTAGTGTACTTGCTCAGTGCTTGAAAAATGCGCGATAGAAATAACCGCAAGACTTGCTGAAAGGGACGACATGCCAGCTGGAATTTCCGCTTTGGCGCCAACAGCCAATGGAGATCCTTTCGATCTCGAACGAAAGAATTCTCCAGCGTTTACCATTCTCCAGAAAGATGGGCTAGACACCAATCTACCTCTTCTTCATGTGAACGGCGGTGACGAGACGAATCGATCGGACGTCGACGATCGTCTGGAAAATGTTAAGAACAACAACCTGTTAGACCGAAAACGCATCAGCAGATCGAACGACCATTTGGTCCAGTCGAATTTACAATCGAGCCAAGTGAATCCATTGAGGAGAGAGGCACGAAGCAGAAGTCAGGAGAGCTCACGCTCGGCGGACAGGATACCAGCAATAAAACCGAGCATGACTCTGTCCACGGAAGACTTTAACGAAGTTCTAAACGCGAAGCTGAAGAAACTTCAAGAACAGGCGCAAGAGAAGGAGGAGCAACGTAAGAGCGCGAAGAGGAGCCAAACCTTTCGTAAAAAGCCATTCATCACCACTGTAAAGACTGGCGAATTTCTAATGCCACCGCCGGAAGTCGCTGCTCTTCTTGGTATTGCAACGAATACCAACGATACCGAGGACATCGATGTTTGTCCTTTGCGGTCAAAGTTCAAGTCGCTCGCGTCGTTAGCCAAGAAACCGGAAGTACGTCATAGCAGCCACATTGCAAGGTGTCCGGCTGCTCTCAAGGCCACTGTTGACTTTACCCTCGGAATGATGAACGCGACGACCATGGCTGCCTCGACCTTGGATGATCGAACTAAGACCGCTAAGAGAAACGACGCGACGTAAGTTTGCCAACATTTTGGGAAACTTATTCGCCGTGTTTTATCTTGCGTCTTCAATACGAGCAAAAAAAGAAAGGAATCATAAATCTCCTTGCAAAGCGTTGAAAAAGCGTGTCAGAAACGATCGAAACAAGAAGGTCACAAGTCGTTTCGTTACATGTACGGAGGAGTTGCTGAAGATTATCGATTTAGATTGCGTGCACGCAGATTTGTTTGTATATATATATATATATATATATATATATATATATATATATATGTTTGTATAATACTCATAGTATTCTACGTGCGTGTACAATTTGTACTATACTATGTAATTTATGGCGTAACACTTGCTCAAGATCTCCTCAATTTACCTTGAAATATGTAAAATGCCTTTCATCTCCTTTCTTTACAGTGATCAACCGATTCCTTTCGGGAATATCATGTTTGATCGGCGTGTCGTTCGAGGAAGCACGTATGCCACTCCTCCTATTCTCGTGAGTAATAAATTAAACAATACTGTTCGAAACTCGTGTATCATGCATGGGAAAATAATCACGCATTTGTCTCAGATCGATGGAGAGCAATCGATAGCAGCGAGGCAAGCGGAAGCCAGAAGGAGGAATTTGGCTAGGAAACGAGCTCAGGCACAAGCTACTAAAGCTCTGGTTGCTAGGCTAGGCTCGCCACCGCCGGTTCCTGGCCGTAAGCATGAGCCGGTGCAAACAGAAGTTTACCTTGAAGAGGTAAATCCAGGTTCTTTATCTCGGCTATTTATCAAACTTTGCCATAGCCTGTAATTGACGGTATGTTTGACGAGTGTATATTATACTTGACAGTTGTTTGAGAAACCAGATGAAACCGATACTGCGACACAGACTGATTACTTCCTAGATAGACCGCCAACACCGAAATATTGCCCAGATAAAGTTGGTCAAGATGCTTGTACACAGATTGAACCTGGTGATGTAAGTTGGGTGAAATTCAGGCGAATCTGAAATTTGAATTACAGATGACTGTAATAATTAAAATTGAATTCCAAAATTGAATAATCTAATCCTATATTGTCGTTATCAATTAAGGCTCGATCGAGTATCAGTCATTCAATCTTAAAGAATCTTATTTTCAGTTGTTCGACTTCGACTACGAGGTGCAACCGATACTCGAGGTACTCGTTGGTAAAACCATAGAACAGGCATTAATAGAAGTTCTTGAAGAAGAAGAGATTGCTGCTTTGAGGGAACAACAAAGAAAGTTCTTGGAATTACGCGCTGCGGAAAAAGCTGAGGCGCGGAGACTGGAAGAACAAGAACGAAGACTAAGAGAAGAAAAGGTTTGGACAATAATTTGAAAAGTTTCATTGTTGAATGTCATTTGAATTTTAAATGTATTATTTGATAGGATCAACGATTAAAACAACACGAGGACGCGATGGTAGCTCGAAAGGAAACGGAAGAACGAATCGCAGCAGCTACCCTTCTAACAGGATATATAGCTGATCTTCTTCCAGCGGTTCTCGAAGGATTGAAGATATCCGGGTTTCTGTTGGACGAAATCAAGGCTGGTTCGTGAACACGCAAGAACACTGCTACTTTTTGTGCATTAGTTAGTCAGAAAGGTTTATTAATTTTTCTTTATTTACATCCTTTAGCCGATAACGTTGTCAGAGAAAGAAACACTCATCCTCTTTTCCTACTTCGCTTTTTAATGTTGTATTGAATTAAGTATAACCGGCTCTAATGAAAAAAGTCTAATATTTGCTTTCACAGATGTCGAAGAAGGTTTTATGCCATGGTTGATGAAGGAAGTTAAGAAAGAAATGGGCTATATGATCGAGAGCAAGGAATTACTTATGGGTAAATGTCGTTAGTTTATCAATTTATTAATAATTCGTTGTATTCAAAACTCTTGTGCTTTTAGGAAATTTCGTTTTAAATATAATTAATAATTTCAATCATAATAGGTATATACAGTTTTGCAAAACATTTTTTATTTATTTATAAATAAATGCAATATAATAAATAACAGTTTCAGTACTTGAAAATAGTACTATGAAAATAGTATTATGAAAGAAACTATTTTTATTTACCCAAGGAATTATTTTTTTTGAAACTTTAACATGCTCCAAAGTTGATCAAAATAATGCATCTTTGGCACTATGATTCGAAATTTATGGAGGTATCTAATAACACTAAAAGAAAGTTATCCTAGTTAGTTATTTCCAATATATCCCCATTAAGAAACTATTTAATATTGTGTAGAAGGTCCTTTGTTCTATATTTAAATTATATTTGTCTATTATTATCTTTGAGTAGAAGACATGAAAGACTTAGACTAAAACTCATCTTCTCGCTATTGTCAGGATTTTATAGATTTAAATAGATCAGAAATTATTGACATTTCATTACATACTCTTAATATTTTAAGTTTTTAATTTTTCTGTACACAGATATCGTCAGAGAAATTATAGAAGACCGCGCCGAAACGTATAAGAAACTTGGCGAAGAGTACGATGCCTCTAAGACAAGGAAACCGTTGATGGATCACATAGAAGATGGTGGCAATGATCTAAATTTCATAAATTACGAACCACCCGTTATCAAGAATACGGACGTCATTTAATCCCACCGATACCACCTAACATTTTTGTACGTAAAGTTAAACAGATACGTAACAAACTGTCATCAAGCGATCGTCGTCTAATCAAAGTTGGTGAACTTTTTGCTATTCGGATCATCGTTTGCCGAAGCTTTAATGCTCATTGATCTTGGGACCAAAAAACGAGCATATCATAGTTAGCTTTCGGATTTAGGGACGCCTTCACCAGCACCGGAGCAATCCCCATCCCAGTAGCTTCTACATTAAGCAGTGTACACAGCTGCGAGACAAATCCATCTCCTCTGGTAGCGTCCTGTGACAGGTCCACCGTCACGTTTTCCCCATAGCGAACACCAACTATCACAGCCCTGTTCCATCAGAAATTAATTATCCATTTTCTAATACTCGCCGTGCTAGATTTTCTAAGAATGATTTCATTTTGGAATTTGAGGAAACAATAATATTTTTATTCGTTAATAATATTTTTCAGATTCGTTCTGAGCCGAGGAAGAGCGACGACAAATCGATCAACAGAGCCGATTGAAATTCAGAGCGGAATTTTCGAAGCGATAGAAGCGCTTCGTGAAAGATTCGTATCGATAATTAGTTCCATGCAAAGTATTTCAAGTGATGCAAATAAACAAAACATTTATTACTTACAGAAGAAACATCGAGTATTTTTTTCCATTCTTTTGACGCACGTTTTACAGACTTCTCTTTCGTACGATATAGAGAAAATCTCGAGCTCGATATATATATTTCTGTCCTTAGATAAGTTATTTTTGCATGTGTGTGTGTGTGTTTTGTTGTACACGGAAACGCAGCTGCGGAGACAATCGTTAAGTCGGAAATACGAACGCGTTGCTAAAACCGGCAGACGTAATTTTACTTCTAAGCTCGTCTGTTATTTCAGATTACGAGAGTAAATCATGCTTCAGAACTTGCTCAAATGAAACGTGGAAATTTATTTGTCCCTCGATTAATTAAATATCACAAAAATTAGAAAAATTAGGAAAGAAAATTATAAAAGTACTAAGAAGATGAAAAGATTATTCAAAATGGAAAGAAATTCTAGTGAAATTTTACTTATCGTTTTATTAAACATTTTTGGTAATTTCACTTTATCAAATAGGCACAGATTTATAGTCTAAATCTGATAAGTCAAGATCTAAATCGTAGGGGACAAATGCCACTCATGCCAAACAGAATAATGTCTGACTGTCTCCAAACTTTTTATTCTTCTAGACTTTCTTCCGTTCCTAAAATTCCTAAATGACAAAATTTATTCTTCTTGTATTTATTAAAAGGAATCACTACAAACATACAGATTACACTGTCTGTTTCATATTTGTGCACGTAGAAAATTAAATTCTGTTGTTTCAGATATTATATGCTATTAACAGACTATAGATATTTATGCAGTTTTGGTTATAAAAAACGCTACTTCCTTTCCAATTTCGATGATTTTTAAACATGTAGAAATCAACACTATAACAACTTTTTCCTGCACATATTATCGGCAATCTGGCTTAATTTTCAAGACATTCACAAAAAACTACGAGACATTGAATCCTGCTTATTTACAACAGAGTCACAAGAATAATCGGCACATTCATCATCGTTAGAATTTATGATAAGTGACTGTAATTCAGAGCGAATATCTCAGAAACTAGATCTGACTTCTGCAATGTATCGGTACACATACATACACACCTATAAGAAAAACTTGTTTGAAATGAACATTATTTATTGATTTCTATAAATCATTTGATACACCTGATTTCTTCAGTGAAATTTATTCATATTTGAAGAGGACAGAAAAGAGAAAAATGCAGAACTCGAAAAAGAAGAAAAGGAGAATTCAGTCGTGCTCTCTGGAGATGAGATAAGATTCGTCGGTACACCGCGAAAGTAAAAAACCTGTCGGGCTCAATCAGGATTAGATCGATTATAATAGGATGAGGTTTCACGGTGAATTAAGATCGGCACAGTTTTAAAAAGCCACCCACCCTCTTAAACTGCGCACCCTTTTCGGCGACAAGGTGAGGGGGGCCATATTGTATTGGATTAAATTAAGCGGAGTTAGGAGAGGGGAGAATTGTCTCGATACCATGCATTATATGCACAAAACTCATGTGCCAAGTGAGTCGTGTTTTTAGGGAGATTCAAGAAGGGAATACAGCGGTCTGATCAGTCAGGGTGGGCTCTACGCTCTTCCACCATGTGACCCGTGCCACCTGCATTTCTGCACGATTCTTTTATCTACCAATCCGAGGAACACCTTCGTTCGCGAACATCCCTTTTACAATGGCCTCTCCTTTTACAATGGTCCTTCTACAATGATCTCTGCGATTTACAGAATTGCCAATTAACTACAAGTAAGCTGAGGAGAAATATTCTTCGTAGAAACATTTTTACTTGATACAGAGAAAACTTCATGCTGTAATTGAAATGGCGATTTGATCGGACTTCACGTATTTGCTTGCGTTAACACATCGAATGAATTGACTCTTAAAATCAAGTAAACGATATCTAATGGTCAAATGGGATATAATGGTTAAATAGGAATCCGAGCGTGGGGTGAAACATCCTCTGTAATGTTGTTACAGGGTATTCGATCGGCACGTGTCGCGTTACAGAACACTCAGCGTTGAGAGACACGAGCAATATGTCGAAGACACGTGACCGAAGCAATGAAGTTTTAACTGTATCATAGCATGCCTTTACATGGGCTCGTTGTTACTTTTATATTAAATCCACAAGCTAGTAAAAAATTAATATTTATAGCAAAGATTAGAATTATTTCTAGTAAAAGATATTAATACAATATCCGGCCCGGTATCTCGCTGGAAGAGCTATTAGAAGCATACTTTTGACACTTGCAGAACCGGAACGAATCACCTTCATAGTCACTTCCCCGCAAAGCCAACCATAACTCAGTCTTCACCCTGCGACGTCTAACGTAGTTAGATTATATAGAATCTCGTAAAAGGGCGTCAAACAATAAGATTTGTCACGTATCTGCGAATCGAAGGGATCGAATCCGCGTTTTCCATGCAACCTGAAAATTGAAACCAAAAGACTTTTCTTATCGAATGAAATTGCACATAAGTACTTATTATTTAATGATCAAACAATGTAAGAGCTTCTAAATATAATACAACTTATATCAACGATGCATTGAAAACAGAAGTATATGGAAGAAAACGTTGTTCGATATCTACTGACAAAAGAAAAACAGAAATGCTTAACTCTCCAGCTGCAAGAAATGTAATTTCTATGTAAAATTAAGATTAACAAAATAAATATAACGTAATTTCATCAGCCACTGGAGGATTAATGAAGTATAAGTAAATAAAGCAAATAATGAACAAGGTATTTGAATTGAGGTCTTGAATTTATCACAACGTAAATAAAATATTGCTAAAAAATTGCAAGCAACAGCAGCACGCGTGTACAAGCCAAACAGGATGTTTCTTACAGACTTATTTTGAGCATCGCATCAGGGGATGAGCGATAATACGTAGATGATAATCGCGATATTAATATCGCATTGGGAAGCGCGCACATGCGTGCAGGGGCTCATTGGTCACGGAGGAACACTTGTTCACTGGCTGGCTCGCGGTTCTTTCAACGCACCCTGATTTTAGAAAGAGACAACGAGAGGGTGGAACCCTCGGTGAAAGTTCGGATGAGGACAAAAACTAAAATTTATCTAAGAGACTTTCTAGAAACAATATATCAACATATAGAACGTAACATCAAAATGTAAGACATTATCACGAAGTGTAAGACAAATATCAAATTATGACAAATGAAATTATCAATGGAAAAATGTAAGACAATTGCATCATTTACACTTTTTATTCAAAGTATTTTACATTAATAAATTACCTTTCTTTTGAAAAAGATGTAGCCACGTGTAGCAGCAGAAAGCAATCTTATATGAGTCAAATTTTGCATCAATCTAATTAAGAAAGCAATATGATTAATAAATTACAAAAAAAGTCTCCATAATTATAAACAGAAAGTACGAAAAATTCGGAGAACACTTGCCACAACTGCTTACTTTGACACGCGATATACATATGCGGTTGGTAGCAAAGAACGGTGACCACTTGTGCTTGAGTTTCAAGCGACCAGGACAGGGGTTGGTACAAGGGATGGTGCAGCTTGTGAACACTCGTGTCATTCCCTGGTTCGGTACCATTCACCCTATAGATGAATCACTCCAGCCATAGACGAGATCCACCAAGAAGGATATCCTGGTTCCCTTTTCCTCCAACTAACAGATTATATCTTACAGATTTTACTTTTCAATTTTTACAGGGATTTATTTCAGTTTTACCAAACGAAAATGAGAATCGAATGCTCTTTTAACTACCTTTTTCTCGGAAATGTTTGCTTGTATAATAATGTTAATGTTAAAATTCTAAGTTTACAGATCGAGATAAGCAGTAATGTCGAAGATAATATCGCGAATCACCAGTTTCACTGGAAACTAAATTACTGTAAGAAGGGTCAAATTTTTTCAAACAATAGATAAAAATCAGGGTCTAACTCACAGCAATCTCGGTACTGAAAATTAATATTAGAGATAACTGTATATAATTGTAAACTGTTCCTACAAGACATTAGGCTTCCAGTGTATGTTTTAGTTTCTTCGACCTAGGTTGAAAGTTACGGGAAACGCAACGGGTCAAGATGAATTTTTATCCTCCAAACAATAGTTATAGTATATATATATATAGATAGATAGATAGATAGATAGATAGATAGATAGGTAGGTAGATAGATAAATAGATAGATAGATAGATATATGTGATCGTAACTTATTAATTTCAAGTTTTTAAAATTAGTATTCATATATGTACGTATACATCATAAGTGAGAAAAATACGTCGAATATTTGGCTGTTTTGCGAGAGAATTCGTCGTCGGAGATAAATCAGAATTGAAATTTCCGTAGGTCAATTTGCAGGGAGAACGTACAGATCGAAGAACGATTAGGCAAATCCAAGTGATATCGTTCGATCATGATCTACGCACGCGTGCGAGAAGAATGAGCCACTTAATTTCCTAATCAACCGTTGATTCAGATGCACCTTTCGGCAACATCCCCCATTCTCCGTACAGAACTACGTTGGTTTGCAGCTGAGCCAAACAATGTCCTTTCACATGAGGCTTTTATAGCCCCATCAAACACCCAGTCACAGCCAACTCCTGGTGACGGCTACACGACCTGCGCGTGTCACGTGCCCGTGTTCTTCGTGGTCACGACCGAACGCGAAACAAGTTCGATGACGATCTGTTAGAAAGAAAAAAAGAGAGACATATGTATTTCGAAAGTATAGATAGACGAGATCTAGTGTTAAACATTGATATTTTATTGTAAATTTATAGTGATATTAAACTATCAAACGAACCCTCGAGTAGCGGGTTTTAGCAACGTGCAAGGTGGATATTCCATCCAAATGAATCCGTAATGAAATATTGCTTGTAATAATTTTCCAAATATTTTCGAATATATATATACATTGTAATTTTACTATATTTATGAACTTTTTCTTTTTCTTAAAAATAACAATTTTTTTAAAGATAACAATGAATCCGCTAAACGAAGATTAAATAATACATCAGTACGTGAAAAATTAAGAAAATCGTTCGTGTGTACGTAATACAAGATATTTATAATTTTTCATCGACTTTTTAATATATAATAACTTTCTCATGCTCCAGTGCTCATGAAGAGCAGAAGAATTCATAGATATTAACCACGTCATTCGTATTTCGTTTTGAATGATGACCACAACTCAGGCTGTTACAATTTTATCCATTACTTATTACAATTAAGCATCCATGATCCTTGTAGCAACAACTTCAATTAGTAGCATCTTCGGCAATTTGTTTTAACTTGTTATACTGATCCTTTCAAGAGGAACGGCAATTAATAAAGGTAATAAAATAGATCATTGTATGTATCATTTTAAAATAATAATTTTTAAAAAAATCGCTTTTAACTGAAGCCGTTGTCTTATCTGTTCAAATTATAAGAATTAATACATAAATTGACGAACAACAAATTAGGCCAATACAGAATGTTCAGCAAATTTGTGTAAACCAACATGATATTTCGTTTCTCTGCAATGCGTATAATACGTAATTAATAATGATCTACGTTACGTCAATGCGAAGAGTTAAGCTTTTTGTGTTCATTTAACTGTTGAATGTTGACAAAATCATGTTGTAATAATTATTGTCGATATATTAAAAAGCCCAGAAAATATTAACTCCCTCTCTCTACAAGATATAATATTCTCTATTATAACACTATTAACTAAAACCAATTCGCATGAACTTCTATCTGTTTAATTTATTTAAAATTTGAAATAAAAAAGATTCTTTTAAACAAAAATACTAAAATTGGATAAATAATAAAACAATAATAATAAATATTAAATATATTTTGCAATTGTTTGCAAAAGTTAAATAAAAAATAAATTTGTTAAATTGATACACCTTGCGTTTGAGGCCCTGCTTAGTTATCGGACCCCCTACTTAGTTAGCCACACCCATTTACCCCTAATATTTGGTACCGCGTCAGGATTTGCGAATCAGAAAATGGAGGGGCTGATTTTCCCCTGACTAGTTCTTTAAATACAATTACACTGACAGTGGTGTAGAGTGTAACAGTAGAGGGGAGCAAGTACCTACCCCCTGATAGTCAATTCGGGGCACAAGTCCACCGAATACATTTAAGCCAGAATACAGGTCGAACGTAGTTGACATTTCGACAGCATCATCAGAGGATTTTAGAGCTGACAATTCTGCCATCCACGAACAAGTTAAAATATCAAATAGTTCAGTTGATTTCTAGTAAAAATTCAAGTTTTAATAGCATTAATAATATTACGATTTCGACATCGCAACTTACCTACAATATCTTGCTTTCAATCAAGTGAAATAGGACAATTTTTGGTGGAATTGAAAACTTCTTATTCTAGAAGAAGAAGGAGGAGAAGAAGAAAAAGAAAAATCGGTCCAATCCATATGAGTGTAAAAATTTAATACTGTATAAAATAAAATACTTAGTGTCTCAATGGAACAAACTAGTGCGATCCTGTATCCTGTTAATGAAAATGCCTTGATGATAAACATCGACAGGACTTCTTCATCCCAAGTATATTTTAGCAGACCAAGAGTCAGAGCTGCAAGTCACCTTGGAAAGGATTCTTTAACGGAGGTCGTCGATGTAAATAAATTGTCTCAGAAAAACACGTCGGTAATTCAACTGGTAAGTATGAAAAATAAAATGTCTAATAATTTTTAAATTTCTATATTAAAATTTCTATATTAAAATTTTTCAAGAAAAAATAGCAAATTCACGTAAATTACTTAAGCCGTACCATTGATTATAGGTTGAAATTGCTGAAGCCCAAGGTCGGTTGTATTGCATAGATAGTCTTGTAAACACTTCTTGCTGGTTAAAGATCGTCACATTCGCGAATGACTGTCAGAGTAGCAATGTACTTTTAATGACCACTAACAAGGGTGTAATTTTGAAAACGTTAAGAAACATAAATCCCGGTGAACCACTGCTAATGTGGTTCACCGAAAATATTCTAGCTATCCTGAACATTCCATTTTTAAAGCCATACAATATACAAGGTAAGACGCTTATTTTCAAATACGTAACCTTCAAGCAGATAAATTATATAATTAGCAAGACAGATTTTTATAAGTGCTTATATTTATTCAACATTGCGATATTATACCTAAATAACATCCACATATATATTAATTTCAGGTCAGAATCGTTACATTTGTCACATATGCGACAACCTGTTCGAGTATCCCAATCCTTTAAAAATACATTTGGCCCTAAAATGCAATCGACTGGATAATAATTATCTTTGGTGCACATTGGCAAAAGAGTTTGATTCATCGCTAAAATCAAGCTTATCTCCCTCCAAATCGAGTTTCAAATTCAAACTGACCAAATCATCGCAAGCTGCTTCCAATAGAATATCATCGACATCAGTACAAATCACAGATATTACCGTTTCAACTAATAATAATTCATCACAATCTTCCAACCAAATCTCTCCATCTTCTTCGCATTCACTCTCTTCTGATTCTCTGTCCTCGCAAATATCATCGAACTTGTCAACTCAACGGACTTCTATAAGAAAAGATATACCACAGCGACAGTCTGCTTTTAAGCCATACTCAAATCAAAACAGAAACATCTCTCCACCAACGAGGAACGAAACTGATTCGACGCCGTACAGTGTTCAAACGATAGCACCAAGCACTGCCGACATTCATGCAGCACATATGGAGACGATCGTCAGCAATCTTGGTAAATCGGGACAAGGACATCTTTGTATCTATTGTGGAAAAATTTACTCGAGGAAATATGGTTTAAAAATACACATCAGGTTAGTATGCCAAATTTTATTTTATCGACCATCTAACTTACCCTTCATGCATTAAAAACTAACGTTGCGTTAACGTAACATTTCATTTGCAATTCTTTCAAATTAATTTATAATTGTTAAATTCTTCAAAAAATTTGCTTGATATCTTTTTATCGTTATCTTCTATCTGGATTCTATAATTTTCTAGAATTTAAAGTAATTATTACTTGATCTCTGTTAAGTCAGTTTTATTTTCTTCGATACGCTCTCTTTGTATAAAAATATAAAATTTTCATGAAAAATTATTTTGATCACTTTGATAATATTAATAATTATACGAACTTGGAAATAATTGCGAATTTTACATTCATTTTATTTACAGAACCCATACCGGTTATAAACCTTTAAAGTGCAAATACTGCTTTCGAGCATTTGGAGATCCCAGCAATTTAAATAAACATGTACGATTACACGCGAACGGTGAAACACCTTACAAATGTGTATTATGTGGAAAAATTCTTGTAAGAAGGAGAGATCTTGATAGACATCTAAAATCGAGACATGTAGAAAACCGAGATACCGATCACACCTCAGATTCGTCCGATGAAATTAATATTTAAATTTAAACTAGAAGTCTAAACTCGTTCATTATTATAATCAGTCGACTTAAGGAAGTCAAAGGCATCGATTATTTTTTTAATATTTGAACAATATTGTAAATATACTGTTAAAGTGCACGAATGCATTTTGTGTGCAAAATTATTTATTCCAAGAAATGTATTGTAGGAACAATACATTTTAGTTGGAAAAAATAACTAATAAAAGAAATTAAATGAAATAATTAAATTAATTATTTGAATTTTAACTCTGTTAATTATCGACTCGACAATTATTCATTCTATCATACATAGAATCTGTTATTAAAACACTCATCATTACGCTTTTATATTTTAAGTATGAGACCATTGTTAACTTAAAATATACAGATATGTAGAGATATAAAAATAAAACTGTGATTTTACTTTTAATCATTATTGAATCTCTGTTCTTTCGTATCGCTACGTCTCTGTAACTAAAAGAAAAGAAGAAATTAAAATATAGCATATATCTTAACAAATTAGTTATTATTTATATATAAAATATATTATATAAATAGACTGAATATATAATATTACCTAATGTTACATATATACTAATCTATAGTTGATATTGCAAAAATTGTCACTGTGAAACATACAATGATGTACAAATGTATTTGCATAATCCAGATTCTTTTATAAAATCTGCGAAGATTTTATTATTAAGTTTCTCTATGAAATATAACCTTCAAATCTGGAACTTGTTATTAATCATTTATACTAACCATTTATATCAACTATTAAGAAGCAGTGCGATGAAGTAATAAAGGATATATAGTAGATTGTTTTTAGTGACATAAAATTTCAACTTTTGTAAAATAATTTATCCACAATTTTTGTTCATCGGCATATATAACAATTAGGGCTTATGAAAAATTGAAAACATCAGATATTACATATGAACGTTATTGACCTTATATGAACGTTAAATAAGTAACTTACAAATAACTCACCTGTGAAATTCTTTATTTATGCAAAAGTTTTGTGTATTAGAGACAAAGACTGAGCTTCTTCAACATTCGTATAAATTAATTCAATTACGTTTTTTGAATTCGAATTTTATTTAAATCGATCAGTAAACTAGAGGGCTCTACTGAAACATCTCGATAGTAATGCCATCGTCCGAGCATAATAGCAACCTTGTCATCCTTATCAATCGCTTTTGATTTCGTCTGTCCATAGTGACTGATTCCAATTGAACTTATATCTCCAATAGTTGCTATAACGTAAGTATTTACAACATGAAAGATATTTAAATAAAGGAAATGAGTTTATTGAACTTACAGTTACTAAAATTCAAACGCATTCAGTTATATTCCATATATGCATCTCTACTTTTTAACGAGTTCGAATTTATGATGGACGATACATGTAGATCGGGTTATGATGTAACCAGTTGCAGTTATCGTTAATTCGCATAGTTTCATGAATAATTTTTTGTTACAGTGTATTAACATGGCTACTATTGCACGTAACTTACGCCCTTATTTAAGATATATTCGTAATCAAAGAAGAACTTATGCCGATGCAGCAACCGTTAGCAATGAAATGAAGTTTACATTTGCTGGAGCTAATCAGGTATAACACGTACATATTCCTTTAAACTTCAATTTTATGAATTTGTAATGAAATTGTTGTAGGTGTTCTATGACCAACGTGTAATTAAACAAGTGGATGTGCCATCATTTTCTGGGTCGTTTGGTATTTTACCAAAACACGTCCCTACCTTGGCTGTACTGAAACCAGGTGTAGTTACAGTATACGAAGAAGATGGATCAGTCAAAAAAGTTTTTGTTTCCTCAGGAACAGTCACTATAAATGAAAACAATAGTGTACAGGTATATAAAGAAACTGTTAACTAGTTTTTCATATTATTCTTCTGTAAAATACTGCAAAATAAAAAAAAATATTGACAGATCTTAGCAGAAGAAGCTCATCCTTTGGAAAATCTTGATGGATCTGCAGCTAGAGAAGTTCTTAGTAAAGCTCAGCAACAACTTTCATCTGCAACAACAGAACAAGATAAAGCTGAAGCAGCAATTGCAGTTGAAGTTGCAGAAGCTTTAGTACAAGCTTTATCATAAACATTGTGCAAGCATTGTGTACATATTAAAATATCATTATGTGTATCATTAAATTCTTAGATCATATATTTATTATATCTCTATCATACTCCTACACAATAATATAGCTAATTTCACTCTAGAAAAAGAAATAATAAAACAGTTTATGTAATAATTTATTACAGTAAAGTTTTATTTAATCTAACAATTTTTTTATATAAAACATATTGAAAGGTACATCTTGATTTCTTGCATTACATTTAACAAGTACTTTTAATGCTGCAAAAACTAAAAAACTGGGGTAATTTAATATTTAAGTTCAAAAATTAATGTCCATTCAATAACAACATAGCTTAATTTTAAATATAATTTTTAATATTATATTTTCACACTGTTTTATAATTGAATTGCGTAATTTAACGCGTTACATTTCTTCTAAGCGTTGTACATTGGAAAACAATTGCTAGGTAATAAATATTTTACTCTTTTTAACCATTAATATGTTTAGTACATCACACGCGCATGGTCACAAATAATTGACTTTTTTGTAAATATCATGTAATTCGTCAATATTATCTGAATTCAAATATCTTACAACAATTATTATGTATAAGAACGGTATGTACATAGTAATTGTACATTATGTTGTACCCATACACTTAATACACAAATTTGGCATTAGTTTCTTACAATGGCATTTTGCTATTTTTCAATATAATACAATATACAATTTTTTTTTATAAACTATTCAAAATTATTCAACAGCGATGTACATTTAAAAACTTTTAAGTAAAAAATTTACAAATAAACTGATACAATAAAAATATATAACATTTACATATTGCATCTATATAACAAGATCTTGAGACAATGTATACAGAATCCCAAATTTTCGATTGTCCTAGACAAAACTTTTAAACATTGACATTTATAAGGAAAACTACATTTAAAACTAAGCAAAGTAGCTTACACATTATGATAAATAACAAATTCTTATTCAATATTTATATAAAAATGTTTCTTTGAACATGACTAGTTACACACTAAAATATTTGCCTTATTGATATTTTGTTAATTGGCACTTCATTAAGGGGGGTAACAACGTTTCTGTACAACATGATACACTGTTAGTGCTTTTACAACAATTACGACTGAATACTTTTTGCAACTGCTGTAATGTTTTCAAACAAATAACAACACAACAAGACCCATTGGATTCATTGTCACAAACACAAGATACATAATTGTCTACCATTTTCGGTGAAACGTGCTTTTTATTAACTTCAGGAATTATACTACTTGAGCAATTTTGACAATTTTTTAATTGATCACACTTACAATCAATACATTTGCATATATCTGCTTCGGCTGTAATTTCCTGTAGAATATTTCTATTCTTTTTTATTTTTGTACTATTTTCGCTTTCTTTATTATTATTATTTTCTTTACGCGTAACTTCAGTACATTCAGTATTAATATTTTCCACGTCTACTAAATTTACATTATCCACTTGCTGTAATGGTTGTAACTGGTTTTCTAATGGATAAGGTTCCGGTTCAACTAAATCAACTAACGAGTGAACCGCTGTTGGAAAAGCATTCAATTCTGACCATGATTGCCTTCTTAAAGCAGATGGAGTTGCCATTGCCATAACATCTATCCAAGGAGAAGGTATTTCCTCTTCAGATGCTATAGCAAGTTCAACAGCTTCTGATTGCGTAGTTGCAATAACATTACAATTTAATGCCTGTTCAACGTCGTTAAGAGATCTAGTTCGTAAACTATCATTAATAAATGGTAAAGTTTCCATCTCACTATCAAACAGTTGAGTCTCATTAGAGGAACTAATTATATTTGATACGTGACTAGTAACAGAATTTGCGTTGTACAAAGTCGTATTATTACTTTCAACAACCTCACTTACATTTGTTCTATCATTATAAACTTCCTCCTCGATAGTATTATCATATTGTTGCATATCACTTGTAAAATTCGTCCCTTCTGCGATATGAGCAATAGTATTTTGTAGGCCATCTCGTATAATTTTTTGTTCTAAATTTATTGCATCAGACTTATCTCTATTATCTGTTTTGCTATCTTGAACTTTCACTGAAGAATTAGAACTATATTGTTGATTTTGATCTCGTTGTAAATTCGAATCATTTACTTCATTAAACATTTTAAATTTATCATAATTTTCATTATTATTAAAATTATCAATTGTATGCTCAGTAAAATTATTTAAAATAATATCTTTTGAACTAAGAAGAGTAACATTTGTTGATTTATTTAAATTTTCAGTATCTTTATTAGTAATGTTATAATCAAGTTCTTTGTTTAGTCTATTTTGATTTAAGATATCTATCATATCATTTGTAGAAGATGACTGATCATTTGGATTTTCTATGGATAAAAAAGTAATACTTTCCTTATTTTCTGTATTATTAGAAGATAACGGTATAATGGCATAACATGGCACATTTGTATTTCTCAGCGTGACTTCATCAGCGTCGATTTCTGTGTTCAATATCTTACTGTTTCTTTGGTTTTTATAATCATCTTTATTGACTTCATGTTTCTATGATAAAATAATACAATATGATAGAAGCATTTAAAAGTAAAATAATGTTATAAAATTTTTTACATACCATCTCATCATTATCAGTCGCTTTTTTATGAGTTCTCAAGTGACTCTTTAAACTATGAGGTGTGGTGAAAGATCGTTTGCAATTGTCTATAGTACATACATAGGGTCGTTCTCCTGTATGTGTTCTTTTATGAGTTTTTAAATGATGCGATGCTGTGAAGGCCTTACCACATCCTTTTTCTCTACATCTAAAAAGGAAATTTAAGTTTTTATATCTAATTTTATACCTAAATTTATATCTATACATAATTTTTATATCTAAATTTATATCTATACATTTTTATCTAATTTACATACTATACATATATATAAAATTTCCTTTACACAATTCATTTGATATAAGATGACAAAGATTATAAAAATTGGACAATGCAAGTTGAATAGTCCACATCCAGAGTATTAATTTTAATGTTACTGCAATTTTATATTAAGATTTTAATAATGTTTAGATTTATCTCTTATTGTTAATTTTGTGCATTTTATGCATATTCTTTATGTTTACACTTAAATAAAAAAATCATTATTACAAATTTATAGAATAGAACCAATACCAAACCATAGGTCAGACCATTACTGAACACAAAATTCAGTTAATAAATATTAAAAAAACATACTTGTAAGGTCTTTCTTGAGTATGAGTACGAATATGTTTCTTGAGATCACTTAGAGTGGTGAAGAATTTAACACATCCAGTCTCTTCGCAATTAAATGTGTTGCCACTGTGAAGTCTTTGGTGAGCTCTCAGTCTGTAAAGGGTATTGAATGCTTTTTCACAGCCTTTGTGATTGCATTCAAATGGTTTCACTTTTGTGTGTACCCTAGTATGAATCTTAAGGCTGTACGATGTAAGAAATGCCTTGCCACAACTTGGTTCTGCACATTTAAATCGATACTCGCCTGAAAGTTTTGAGAATTCCCTCCACATAAAAAGTTTGCTGGGAGTACCTATTGCTTGCAGTATCTGAAAGCCATGCAGGTCAAAGCGTTCCCTTTATATCAGCATTGATGATTTTATAACCGATAAAATGTGTACACAAGAAGTTTGTAAGACATAAATAGACTTTGTACTTTTTATTCATTAATAACAAAAAACATAACACCAATCAAAAAAATTTCATAAGCTTACCTTATTTCCCTTAGGCTTAGCAAGCACAAAGAAGAAAAGATAAATTAACATAGTACATTATACTAGAAGCATAACATGCAAAGCATATAATAATTTTATTTTATTACATAAATAAAATAAGAATGATTTTAAAAAATTATAAAATATTGTCCTTAATACTTCAAGTTATGGAAGAGCATAAAATAAAATTATTATAATAGGTTGTTATATAAAGCATATTAAATATTAGTCATATAAAAGATTTTTCTCTTTTATTTACTTAAAATTGACAAAATTGACATTTTACAAAAACTAAAATTTATGAAAAATCTATATTTTTTATAATATAAATCTTTTACCTTTATGCGTTTTCATATGAGTACGTAAATTTCCAACTGTACTGTATGTTCTATTACAACCCTCATATTCGCAAGTATATCGACCAATATGTTTTTGATTCGTATCTGGAATTATGTTCTCAATTGCAACATGTGAAGATTCATTTGTTGAAATATCATCTTGATCAGAATGAATCCGCATATAAATTTCATCACGACCAATTGAATGATGTATTGATCTATATTAATATACATATATACATATGTATTAATTTATTCATATACTTATTTACAATTGTACTTATACTAAAATATAAATCTAAATTTTTAATGCATAAAATATACATTCTTTGATTCAATAAAACTACATTATTTTATAACTCAAAATTTCATTTGAAAGTGCGTTATATCCTTATAAGGATGTCACACAAAAGATTACTTGCTCTCACAAACGAATAGGTTAATAACTTATATTTTCGAACTGATTTTTCAATTTTTATATCCAGTTTATACAAGACAAATTTACATTACACACAAAGTAGTAAATATAAACAATTTATGTGATCTTACTCGGAGGCATTATCGTTAGATAGTTTTTCATCAATAGGGGCATCCTCATCGGAATACTTTTCATAATCAAATACATCGTTCTGATCATACACTTTTCCAAAACTGGTTAAATCTAAACTATCATCCAGACAATCCTGAAGATCATGCGTCACGAGAATGTTATCAAAATTTTCCTCAATATCATCGGCATTTCCGATTTCCTGAAATTTTTCACCTTCCCACGTCGCCATACTTTCCTTAGCTGTACAAACAAATCATGAAATAACATTGAAATAGATGCGTCACTGGAAATACAATTTTTTGAACCAGCTCAATCGTTATAATAAACTTTTTCTTTATCATCAGTCACATACTTTGTCTGTGTCATTGATTAAAGGAAGAATAGATATGACATTAAATCTGATTTCGTCCATGTTTTGAAATATGTACCATTTTCAGAAAAAATCTTTATGATAGACCAGAGAAATTCTGTTCAAATTATTGTCGAAATTAATGACAGATACAGACAAAGACAAATTGAACAACTTTAAAATCATGTTTTTTTAAATCTCCGTTTAAATTTGATTCATTTATTTGTCACATGCGACATTATCGGTTTCATAATTACTGATTATATCACATTTCGAAGTTCAAATGGAATGAAGGAAGAAAATTGAAACTTCAACTAGACGAATACAATTGCAAAAGATTATAAATTAATTTTATTAACTAGTTTTTTTCGCAAATGAAAATTTGATTCATTAGTGGGTAACGAGATACATAGTATAATCCATCTAGCGGTGATAAGGGGAACTAATTTCCTCGTACTGACATTAAAAAATCTAAATTTAATTTGATATTTGAATTGTTTGGGAAGTAAACTAAAACTTTTAGAAGCATGTTTTCTATAATATCATTTCGATTTCTCGCTTAATTAATTAATTAGTGTACAATACCGAGACGAGATATTAATTCATTCATATTAATTAACTCATAGTTCAATATTTAACATTAAAATTGCAGTCACTTCGTTAAATTAAATTGTTTAACTTTATCGCTTTATTTAAAGAACTATTAGGAAAGGAAAGTTTTTAGTTTCTATTTCAAATTACAAACAGTATATCTTTGTACAAAACGCGCGCGCAATGATCTTAACTTAGGTTAGGATGACAGCGCCAATGAAACGGTGGAATTTTCCAACTATAATTTATTGTAATTCTCAGTTTCAAGCCGGAAACACTGCAAAAGGAAGTATTAAAAGTATTATTTACTCTATTTTAAAGTATCGATACAGATTGATATTTTGAAGTATTAGAGAAACGCAATGAAATTACATAATGTTAAGTAATATGAAACGATTAATTGAATTGGCGCCCAAAAGATATACGAAGATATTTATGTATAGATTTATATGATTGGCTCATTATTAGAAACCTTCTGATAGGATAATTCACTTTTCCAACAAATTATTCAAATCCTATTCGTGCATTCATATGCCCCCACCCCATCAAATTAATTCGCGACGCAAACCTGTTGCGCAGAGGATTAGTCCTTTGTCTAAAATTGTATCGTTAAGATCTATTTCTTTGCGTGATATTTAATTGTGTTCTTAAAGTACTTTCATCGTTATCATTTCATCATTTATATTCACACGTCAATTTCGCCTATTAACGTAAGTCTTTATGCAATAATTTATCGAATATTATTATAATTTATCAATAAGTTATCTTATTTTCTTTGATCGCATTCTAAATTATAACATTTACCGGTAGTTCATATTATGAACTTTCGTAAGATTTAATCTTTAATATTGTTTCATTTCGAATAATTCGTATTTTTCGTACATTTATTTGAAAGGTTTGGTTTTCTTTTGTTCAGATTATAGGTTGACAGTGAGGAAAAATTCGAAGTATTAGAGAGACGCTACGAAATTGAAACGGACGCCATCATTGTCGGAAAGTAAGTTACAATAAATCTAATAGATTTTTATAGAAACATTTTATAACAGTTTAAAGTACTGACAATTTTTCATCTAGTGTGAATATTTTCTTTTCTAAGAATTTCTTATGAATTTTGTGTATTTGAATTAGACCAGAATTTTTATTTTTTATTCCAAATTAACATTTCGTGCGAAATGCGCGCATATTGAGTTTAAATTAACGATTACAGCGCCACTACACGGTGAAATATGGAATACACTTCCTACGATTCTCGAATGTAATCGATGTTTCTCATGATCGATTTTTAAGCGGGAGAGTAGACGTTTAATGGCGGAAAGAAGCACACTTCGTCTATAAAAAAGTGTCATCCAGAAGATTCATCCAGAAAAATGTGTCACCCAGAAGTTCTCAAGTAAAAATTTAAATCAGTAACTATTAGATTTGCATTTGTATTATGTATTTTTAAAATAATAATATTAATATATTAATATATTAATATATTAATATATTTAATAGTTAAAATAATGATTTTACTGTGTAAAATAATAAAATTTTTCATTTCTCAAATAAAGTAAGACGTAGAAGGCCTTGAAGCTCGAAATTCGAAGTAAAAAATAACAACACGAACACAATGTTTATATTTGTCTTCATTCTCGTGCTTGTTCGGACAAGATTACCTCATCCCCTACTATTTTCTCAATTAAAGGACGAATTGTGTCGCGGGGAGTCATTCAGCTGCGGAATTTCGTGACAACAACACGTGTTACGTCGCATAAGGTTCGTAACTATTTCTAATCTATCGGTGGCGTCCCTTCGATAGCGTCGCTTCTTCCACACTCTTTTACTTCCATTTATACCTTCTTAGTGGAATCATTTAATTAATAGGCGTGTGTTTAACGATTAATTGAGCATTACGACAACAAAATCGTGTAGTTCTTTGAAACTTTTCACATTAATTTTTCTTCAGTCGTCGATTTCACTCGTACGGTTACCAATAGTTTGTCTCGTACATCTTTCTGATAGAATTTGAAGTTGATTATCGTTTCATTTGCTTTCATTTGACATATTTGTTCTAACTTTTGATTTCTTTTTGTGCAGATTATTCCATGATTGCA